AGGGTAAGTGCAGGCACACAAAGCAGCTGCTCCATTATAACTCACTATAATTTTTCATTTGCCCTTATCCAAAGGCACTGTCACTATAAGGTAAAATCTGCTGCACCTGTAGCAGCTCCTACTAACTTCTAGCAGCTCCTTTTGTAGTCAATGGGACATGACATGGATACAACAGTTTTTAAAGTCAGGATACTCCCAAACACGTTGCCTGATTTGGCCTCCAAAGTCCCAGTAAATTCTATCCTTGCACACAATTGTACACATGAAATTTCAGGGAGGGTGGTTTAGCTCTGAAAATGCTAACCAGGTAAATGGAGGGGGCATACTTTTGATGGTTAGGTTGCTTCATCTTCACCTGTGTAGCATCTCACAAGGTTTAGTCCAACCAGAAAAGTTTCCAGTATCCCTCTCTATCTTGGGGGAAATGAAGGATGAAATCTTGTCCTTCCCCAGTCTTGCCAGGATGCAGGATAGTTAAATTAATCCAATCAACATTTACCTGAACTTGGGGAAAGTAAAAAGAAAAGCAAAATACCAGATTTAAGAATTTGTCATGATGCCGAGCGCCTGACTGGAGTGGCCTACAGCCCACAGCTTTCAAATATTAACAGACAACAGCTTCCAAAAGCTGTTAGTCCTCTCCTGCTTCCCTGTAGGGTGCTTCTACTTAAAGACTGACACTGTCATTACTGCCAGGCCTAAAGTCTACCTAATTATCCACTACGAAGCAGAGCAAGCCAAATCATATGGCACAGGCCACCAATAATTGTTAGATGGCCTCAGATTTCATAAAGGGACCTGGATTTGTACCAGAACCCTAGATACAAGAGTGTCCATAGGTCCCAAGCCATCCAGTTCCCTAGGACTACCCAGAGAATATCTTGGGCTTTGGGTTGGTTATATGGACTGCCGGTACGGCTTCCCACACCTGTTACGAGCTCCAGCAGGGCTGTTAGCAGATCTGACAGAAGGATTAGGGCTTAGGAGTTTTGCTGTACTTAAGTAAATCTAGTATGCTTATGGCCAATTAAAGGATGCTCTTTTTTCCATTTTTTTATTTTGTAATATTCCACTAATCATAGTGCTTTTCTGCTATCATGTACATATTTTACACTGTGACTAACTCTCCTGTTTGTAGGATCATGGCATCACCCCTCTGTCTGATGTGTGTATTCACTCATTCTTTCAGAAAGATGTTCCCATCATTAAGATAACAAATGGTGGCTCTTATTTAAAAGTGCTACAACATTGAGGAATTTCAGGGCTGCCTTGTATCTGAAATAAGCAAACAAACCCCATTCTCTGGGGAGTTGTGCTGACATCATCAGCACTGATGCTTTAAGGCCTGGACCCCAAAAAGGCTTAATAAATCATTTTACTCACTTGAAGTTAACAGGGTTTCTCATGAAGGAGTAAAGTTACTTACATGCATTTGCAGAAGCATGGTGTAAAAGTGCTTTTGTGAGCTGATAATACAATGAGATGTAAAGCGCAGTGCCTCTGCTGAAACCGCAGAGAGAGAACCACAGATGTCTGTTGTGTGAATGGATAGTGCTGTTAGCAAACCTTGTCTGTGTACTTATACAATAAGCAGCCTCATTAACTAGACAGCATGAGGAGGCAGGCCTTTTACGTCTTCACCAGCAAAGATCAAAATAGTGAAATCTGACAAGTTCTTCCCATGTAAAAGCACCACCTCTTTCAATTAGCTGCCTGCTTAATGGTTTTCCCTTGTTTTCATTTTTTGAAGAGGAGAGGTAGCAGTGCTGTATTTTTTCACATGGAACATATACCTTTTTTCCCGAAAAATCAGCTGCTAGAAAATAGGATGAATGTTTCAAGCAAGGAAATACAGTAACAGTAGCTTCTGCACCAAAAGCCTAGAGCAGGGGCAGGGAAGAGAAGTACACTGCACAAGCTGCACAGGGGACAGTAGAGTGAGCATGTGGGGCTAGCTGCTGGCCACGGATAAATTCTCTTTCCCCACAGTAGGGGCTTCTACTGTAGAAGCTGGTACTGACTTAGCAGGAACCTCTTTTCCAGCACCTCGGGTTCAGCTCTATTGTATTTCTAAACCAGAGCCAAGCCCTAGATGCCAAGGCAGTGAGCCCTGCTGAATCAGTTGGGTAGGCCCTCCGCTAACTAAGATAAGGCCCCCAACTGACCTGGCAGGTGCTGCTAGCAGCCCACCCTGCTTGAGAAGAGAAGAGGGGATCAGTCAATTTGGCTTAATCAGCAGCATATGGGGTGTCTTGTAGCTAAGGGGTTAACAGCAGCCACAATGTTTTGGTCGCCTGAGACTGTGGCTCCCTGTGTTTTCTCTCAAAAAATACCATACTTACTAGTATTTTTAAGGAAAGATTTTTTTTTCTTCATTCTGGCTTTCAAAAATGAAGCGCATATTTTATTCAGGAAGGGGTTGCATCTGAGAAAATGCAGTATTTTGTGTGCATGTACCTGCAAACAATTTGTTAAATTAAATGGAAAAGCAAAAAGCCCAGTGCACAAGAGCAATTCGAGGCACAGGACTTGTTGATAGACCTTAAACCTCTGCTCCTGGAACCATATCCACACTCATCACACAGTCCCTTTCATATCAATTATGAGCTCTGTACAAGGTCTGCCTGTGCAATCCTGGTTGAAGGACTGTAGCAGGGGATGTGCCCTCTATCTGGGATCTCTTGAGTGTATATTAACAACTTTTTATAGAAGCAGAACACTGGCTGCCATGGTCCTCCTGCTTTACCTGTGACAGATTAGGGTGTTATGCCTTGTGTTGTGTCAGGGTTAAAGGTAGTTTTGTGAAGAGTTTAGATTATGGATTTGTACAGGATGGTTTTGTATAGGGATGATCCTGCCTCAGGTAGACGGTTGGACTAGATGGCCTCTGGAGGACTCTTCCAGTCCTACTTCTCTACGATTCTAGGACTGTAGCTCCAAGGTTTTTTTATTTTGTTAGTTATTTAGGCATAGTATGTAATATGCTAGCTAAGGATCCAGAGAGTCTTTCCATAGACAGCAATGCGTGCTGAATTGGACCCTTAGTGTCCTGGCATTGGTAACATTTTTCTTCATTCACAGCAACAACTCATTTTAATTGATGGCAGTTTCATACTTCATGCTATTTTTATACTATTCTCACACAGCATGTCATTGACACAAACATGAGTATTATGGAGTGAGATAATCTCTCAAGTGATTTAAACCTAAAATGTGATCTACCATAAAGCTGTCATTCTCTGTTAGATATGTTTTCCAAATTCTAGATGCCACTTAAAAAAAAAAAAGCCCTTAGTAATTTAAAGCACTCCATGTTCACAGCCCTAGAGTATTTTATGCTTGCACAGCTCTGACCAAAGGAACATGAGTTACTCAGTTAACTTTATTCCCAGAGGTAATCTTAAAGGTTCCAGTTAGTGCTGACTGTGGTGGATGTTGGTGAACACTTGATATAAATGAGGCAGTAGCCCCTCCTGCTAAATTACAAAGGGAAAAGGGAAATCATCACAAACAACTGACCCAACAGGCCTGAAATATATAAGCATAAATTGATCATGTCACTCAGTATACCACCTTGGGAGCAGGAAGATTTGGGTGTGGGAAGGCGAGGGGGTGCACAGGAACTTTTAGTTCATCTTTGGAATGATTTTCAAAGCTGCTCACGTGCAAGTTTCTTTTTCAGGTGACAGAGTTTGCAGTAAAGATTTTCAAAGCTGGTTCCTCGTAGGTTTTATCATTCTCAAAGGAAATAAAGAAACCTCACTAACCCTACCTAACAATAACTTGGAAAAAAACCCTCAAGATTTCCCATTAATACCAGTGATGAGCTCCTTCCAGGAACTCCGGCCAAATTAGACTGGAAAAACCCTTTGAGGCAGTGTTTGTCTCTTCAACATCTGTACAGCTCCTAGCACAATGGACAGCTCCTTGTGCCTGCTTTCATCCTGATGCTGATTGGACCTTCTAGATGGTAGCACAGAGTAAATATTTAGAATACCTACTACTGATTAAGTATTGGGAAAATAGTCAATCTTTGAAGTGACATCCTTACTGCATTAATGCAGAGACCGTGGTTAAAGTACTGGATTGGTGTTTAGGAGATCTCTGTTAAATTCCCTGCTCTGTGCTACAGAATTCCTATGGGACCTCAGTTATTAAATTGTTCTCTGCTTCTGTGCTTCCCCTCTGAAAGGAACAATAATACTTCCTTTTCCCAACCCTTTGTTTTGTCTGTTTAAATTGGTAGCTCTTCAGATAGAGACTGCATACTATTATTATTTGTTGTTTAATATAAAGGGAGTACTTACAAGTCTCTATTCGGGACCAGGAATGTAGACAGGATCTGGGCCCAGCACTGGGCACTCTACAAACACAGGACAAAAAGTGCTTGTATTGTATGTATACTGTCTTGCACAGTGAAGCCCCATTCTCTACTGGAGCCTAATGTGCTGTAAAGCAAACGTAATAATTCACTAAGGGAGCGATCTTGCCTCTTCACTAAAATCAATCATAAAAACCTCCCTCAAGTCTGGGAAGCAGGATCAGCCCCAAAATGAAGACTCTGAAAGACTTGACAGGCAAGCTTAAAACAAAAATCCCCTTTTTGAAAATCCATTTATAGATCTGTCTCAATAGGTGGTGTGAGCTGGTAAATGTTCAGTGCTCTCTGGTCTGAGCAGGAGTTTTGTTTCAGGTGGCTGTGCACCAGGCCTTCCCAGATTATAACTAGTTGCAGGAGAACTTCTCTCCCCCCACACCTCCCCTTTGCAAACAAAGCAGCAAACATAACACAGTCCTATGGGCTTCCATTCCATAAGCAGCATGAGAGAAAACAAAATCAATGTTTGCAAAATGAAATCAAGACAAAATTGAATGGTTAAAACAAGAGTCTACTGCAAACAGAGTAAAAATTGCAAGCTGGCATAAACATGAACTGACAAAGTCCCTTTTATACCGCAACTTTGTTAAAGGGGAGGAAGAGAATAAGGCAGGTCACTTACTTCAGCAAATGATGAGCCACAGAAGGGTGAGCTGTGAGTCGGCCACCATACATTTCTGTGGAAGCCCACTGCATTATGGCTTGATGCATCCGATATTGCACAGTCAGCATCCTCACGATGCTCTCGCCATATTTCTGAATTAGACGCTCCATTAAACTGAGAGAAAGACCTTTGGCGGCAGCCCTGCATCAAAGGAATAATTAACAAGACACACTGAACAGCAGAAGAGAACAAGGCTGTATTTATTTCAAGCAAGGGTGTCAGCCATACAGCCCACAAGCTGGATCTGGCCTGCCGAGGTGGACCATCTGGTCTGTGGGGCTTTTCGCTACAGCTGCCAGTAGCGAAGGAGTTAATGCTACAGCAGGGATCAGCAACATATGGCCCACAGGCCAGATCCAGCCCATGGGGCCACTGGGCCCAGCCATGCATGTGTCCATGCCCATGCCCACACTGGGGCTGGGCATCAAGGGGCTGCGCTAAGGCTAGGCACTTTCCAGCTGTGCCTGCACCACTGCTGCTTCTCTCTACCCTCCCAATTCTGGTCTGACATGGGCTGAGTGGTTTCAGCATGTCAGCAGCAGGGGGCTTTGTCAACGCTGTGCTAAAGCCAGGCATCTAGGGAGCTGCACCTATGAAGCTGCTGCTTCCCCCGGCTCCCTGCTTCCTGGCTGCAGTACAGGTGCAGCTTCCAGATGATGGGAAGTTACACCAGGGCTAAGCAGCTGGAAGCTGTGTTTGCACTGCTGCCACTTGCACTGCTGTGACATAGCCAGTGGAGGGAGAGGGAAGAAGCGGCAGCAGTGCAGTTGGAGTTTGCAGATACCTGGTCCCAGCTCAGCTTCCCACTGGCTGGAAGTTGCACCTGTGCCACAGCTGGGGAGCAGGGGCACAGGGAGAAGCCCTTGTGCTGACCTACCTGGCCCAAGCTGGGTCAGAGGCAGGTTGTTCCAGCCCATGGTTTGTAAAAGGTTGCTGGCCCCTGCACTAGACTGTGGACATATCTTTAGATATGGTTCGGAGCCTTCTCTCTCCTACCACTCGAGGGGTATTAAGTGGAGGTGACTACATTAGTTCCTTCACTGCTGGTGAGAAGCTGAATCTGGACATGGGTCATCCAGTCCGCAAGAGGCCTTGCGGTTTGGATGAGGCCAATGGGGCCAAATACATTTGACAATTCTGGTTTAAAGATTGTGAAAGAGATGTCACCATCTCAACCACCACTTTTCCAGTCCCCCTCATTCTTAAGAGATCTCATTTCAGCTGGAGCTTCACGACTCCAAACACAATAGCATAAGTGGTAATGCCCTCCCAGCTTCCCAGGAGCCCAGGCCCACGCTCTAGCTGTAGACAGCACTGTCTGTGTGTGCCTGTTTTACACTCAGTCCCTGCTGAAAGAAAGCCCAAGTTCTTTCATTGTTCTGATGGCTTATTCTAACTTCATTTTAAATCATCTTCACAAGATTATGCCACCTGCACCTATTTCTGTTTCTCTGATACGACAGTCACCTCTGAGGAAAACGTATTTAGACTATAAAACTCTTTGAGGTAGGAAAAGTCTATTTGTTCTCTATCAGTATTGCTCCTATAACGGGTTCCTGGTTTCTGACAGCATTCCTAGGTATTACCCCAAAACAAAAAGGAAAAACTGCATGGTGCTCAGTAAAGCTACCTCCCCAGTTATTAACTCCCACAACATGACTGCGATTAAATAAGGGACAGATAAGTACTATGTTATTTTGTGAAACAGTAATATGCATTTTTGTTTGCCAGACTATCTAGTCATTACATGCGAGAAACATAGCAAGATGGAAACTGCAGATGAATTAGCATTGCACAGTAGAAGCCTCAAGGTGGATTTAATTGGCAAGAAAAAAAGTCTGATCAGGCTCTCCTCCTTTTCTGGTCACATAATAGGGCATGAGGAGAAGTTCTCTGAAAGTTAAGGCTTCATAATTTGGAGCAAGCAGAAGAAAAATATTTTTGTAGTCAACACTCAGGGGTCAGAGCTAGATCTTTAAAGGACTCACTAATTTTTTGACCATTAACAATGTTTGCAGCCAAGCAAGTAGGAAGTCTGGAAGGGAGGAGTGATGACATTCTAGAGACAGAACATATGTTGAGAGTTTGGAGGAGGCCAGAGGGTATCCCACCCATGTCATGGATTACACAGTTCATGCTGCTTTGCTACATCCAACAGAATTAAGTCAAGCACTTCATGCACTGCCCCACAATTCAAACATTGGATCTTAAAGCCTTGGATGGCCAAGCCCCAGCCAGTAGTATAACCACAGATGGGCGAGTAGGGAACAAGCCCCAGGTACTGCCTAAAGGGGATGCCAGAACAGAGCTAAGGGGGTCCCCTCACACTCCCAGCCTCTGTCCCCTCCTCTTCCAACACCCTGTACCTTCTCTGAAGTAGCTCTGGCAGCAGGAAGGGCAGAAAACCAGCAGTAGTGCACGGCCAGTGGTTCATTGCTGCTGGGGGAAGTGTCTTTTATTGCTGTTGAAAGATGGCAGCTTTTTGGCTGCTTGAGATGCATGATAGTGGCAAAAAAAGGTGACATCTCCCCCCGTAGCATCAAACCTCTGGCCACTATAGTATGTACCACCACAGCCCAAAGTGAAGTTCAGGCCAGTTGCACCTCTCCCCAGCAGAAATCAGCTCCCTCTGCAGTCTCTTTTGGTGGGACTGCTTCAGGGTCAGACTGCTGCTGCTGACAAACATCCCAAGTGCCGCATGTCATCCTCAGCCCTCTGAATGCTGTGATCTTAAAAGAGGTAAAAAACCAAAAAGGAATAGTAATGTCATGCACTTCAACCACTTAGGAAAAACGGTAAGTGTGCATTCATGCGCACAGACACACACACAGCAACCCCTTTGGACCAGTCAATAATTTTATTACCAGACCAACGTAGGTGACCAGCAAATTAAATAATAACTGTGGCACTAAGTATGAGTAAAGCCAAAGCCTTGTCCTGGGCAAGGAAAGCAACAGCTCTGTAATCAAGGGTTGATTTAAAAACATATAGATGGGGAGTGATTTTCCCATCCAGGATCACAACCGAATAACTCCCAGTTTGGCTCTTCATCTTTCCCTCAACAGTGCTAAAGTTGTGCAAGTTCAAAGTCTGGCCATGAAGGCAACTAGGAGAAAAAGCAGGTAAGATTAAAAACAAAGAAAACCTAGAGCAGCTAAACCAGGGAAAGCAGAATCAAGTTGGACAGACTCTGGCCTAAACTGACTGTAGTATTAATTGATTCAGGCCTGCTATTCATAGCTTCAATTAACTCCAGGAAAGAAAGTTGTTGGCATAATTATTACAAAACAAAAAGGAGATAATCCCCTCCCCACTGCTGCAAACACCACGGTACCAAGGGACCACCTGAGACAAGACATTTATTTGAAGAAAATGGTTTTAATTTTGGTATATGAGTTATAAAAGCTTGTCTTGGCTGGGAAATGTAATTGAATAGTTATTTCAGGATAAGCCAGGGGCGGGTAATTATTTGGGCCCATGGGCCACATAAGCAGTTCTGGGGAGCTGGTCAGGACCCCGCCCCCTCCCCCCCAACAGCCTGGAGCCCACATGCCACCACCAACAGCACACAGACCCAGCCCGCCCTCCCCTGCCTTTCTAGGCAGCCCAGGTGGCGGTGGTGGCTCCTTCTGGCTGCCACCAGCACTGGCCCCAACCCTGTGGTACTGGTGGGGACTCATGTGCACAGCCCTGACCCTGGCCTGCCCTGTGCCCACTCCAGTCTCAGCCCGGTGGAGCACACCAGCTGAAACCCGCATGTACAACCCTGAACCCAGCCTGCCCTGCATCTGCTCCGGACCTCCCAGCTATGCTGGGCAGTGGCAGCAGCTGCTGGGCTCAGGGGAAAAGTGCCCCTACTCCTCACCACTGCCAGCCCCTTCTTGCTGTAGCCGCCTGCACCCAGGCTGCCTTGCCACTCCTCTCCACTGACATCACTGTTGCTGCTGCCTCCAGACTGCCCAGCAGGGCAACAATGGCACTGGAGAGGAGCCGCAGGGCAGCCTGGGTGCAGGCTCTGGGCAGCTGCAGCAAGAAGGGCCAGGCAGCGGCAGCAGCCGGAAGGAGCTGCTGCCTCCTGGGTCACCTAGAAAGGCAGCCCAGCTGCAGAGACACCCCAGTTCCACTGCATGCCCAGGGAGCAGCAGGATATGCCATAGGCCAGAGGCCAGGCGGGACCAAAGGACCTCCACAGGCTGGATGTGACCTGCAGGCCATATTTTGCCCACCCCTGGTAGAAACCCTATGTGGACATACTAATTCCAGAATAAGTGCCCCTATACAAGAATATTAATATTGGAAAAACTATTTCTTGGAATTTCCAAGGATTGTTAAGCTCACTCTCACACACATACACACACACCCCAATGCTGTTGAAAGTTGCTGGTTTTAGAGTCCAGTCGACAGATGGACCTGATTCTCATTGACACACAGATCCTTTTACTCTGCTATTGCCATATAATGAGCTCCAATGTAAATAGGAATAAGACCCTGGAATGATCCACATAAAAGGCTTAGAAGCAGCAGTGTAAGATTTTTCACTCTGCCTTGCCAACCTGCCGACCATCTACCCCAGGATGGTCATCTCTAGAGGTGACAGCAACTGTTTTTTTCCATCCGCATTCAGTCTCTGCACTCTCTGGTGGTGCTACCAACTGAGGCAGGCATCAGTGGTAATTGCAAAGCACATACCTGTCCACTGCAAAACTGGAACGAGACCAACCAACTTTTTTCAGAGGTCATGAAAGAGTTGTCAAATGGGATTAACTACTTCTATTTTCATTACAAACCCCTCAGGACACATTTCTAACCACAACTTTGATAAACTGTAAATATCTGTTTCTGATAATGAAAAACAGGGCACTTCTTGACTTGTATGTAGCTCAAATATGCTGAGAAAGCTTCTGGTCACATAAGCCAAGTCAAGCAAGTGAAGTCTGAGTCGCACAGGCTCATGGGATTTGCAGACCAACTATGTAAAAATACCTCTGGATAAGTCACTGGCAGATTCAATTGGCTGCTATACACTAATGGATTAAACTGTCTTTTCAAAGCAAAATCGGCTCTTTGATGTAGTCAACAAATTCCTTACACATCTAATAAGTGAAATAAGGACTGAGTCAAAAGCAGATCTCACATAGTAT